CTCCCTCTCCTTCCCTCTCTCTGAAATCAATAATGAAAAAAAAAAAAAAAAAAAGTAAAAAGTTTGAACAGGAGCGTTCCAGAGACAGAAACTTGAACATACTCTGGAACTGGCCCCTTGAGGTAAAAACACAAGGGTCTTGTTTAGTGGGGTGGGACTGAGACTCTGGGAATTACAGTGTCTTACATTCCTCAAAGGTTCCCACTGCTATATCCTCAGGGCGGTGTCTAGCATGCCACCCAGTGCTGGAGGTAGCACAGGGCGAGGCGGCCGGTTAAATCCAGCCTCTGAGGGTCTGTGTGTGTGAGTGTGTGTGTGTATGCGTGTGTGTGCACGTGAGCACATATGTGATTGTGCTAAACATGCTCTTACACTTCCCCAGGCCAGGCTTTTCTCCTCCCAACTTGTTAGTAAAGCTGAGAAGGAATCTTATAAGCTCCTAACTGTTCCAGAATGTAGTCAAATGTCAAATCTTCCCAAAAGGTCTTAGGAAGGGAACCCGGCTGGTCGGAGGTGGGACTCTGGTATGAGAGAGACCTCAGTGTGAAGCTCAGCTCTTCCATGACAGGGTGAGGAGGGAGGGGAAGGCCTTAGCTTGGCTGAGCTCAGGTGCCTCCTCTGTAAGGGGAGCGGGGGGCGTGCGATGACAGCAGTCATTCACAGAACTCGCTGCATAATGCTCCGGCACACAGTAGGCACTCAATGACCGGGATGCTAGAATTGCTATTATCAACATGCTAGGGAACCTTTTATTTCTGTAAACAAAGATATGATTTAAAAAACAAAGGAATGACTTAAGAACAGAAGGAGTGTAAGGAAACTGCCCAAGAGAAAAAGAGGAAGCCTTTGTGAACAACCTCTTCCTGAGCAGAGATGAAGCAGCCTTCCCCACTACCCAGAGGGGCTCGGGCTCCATTTCACAAGCAAGGCCTGCTCCTGTTCTCTGTGTCCATAAAGTATACCCAATGGGTGAGGCGTGACCCACCCAGTGGGGATGTGGTGTTTCTAAAAGAGTAACGGCTTCCTTCCAATAAATCACTGTGCCTGTTTCTGAGCCAAGAAGCTGCTGAGGTGTAAAACCTAAAGAAAGTACTCTAAATGAAGGTGTCCTGAAACAGGACAGGGGGTGTTTTCACATGTGAAAAAAAACAATGGAGAGGGGAAAGGAGGGGGAGGGGGAGGGTAGGAGGAGTGGGAGAGGCCCCCTGCTAGCCCATCTAGCTGGAATGCCTCCCTCCTTCCTGGTCTGGCTGACAAACTCCACTCAGCCTCCACTCGTCTCCTTCTTCTTCAGAGGTCCCGTTCCCATTGCACATTGCACAGCAGGTCCTTCAATAACAACATTTCATTCAACATGTTTCCTTATTGTTGATGAGATGCCATAGGAACTTAATTCTTGTTTATATCAAGTAGCCTACAGTAAAACTGGTTTCCTTATACGCTGTTTTGCTGTAGTCCCAAGAACCTATCAAGGACGTTAAGTGAGGACTTACTACACATATCTCCTCTGCAGCCTATTTTCTTACTTTGCTGCAATGATCTGCTTTAAGATCTACCTTCCACACTGGACTGTGAGTAACCTCAGGGCAGGGCCCATATCATAGGCTTGGCCATACAGTAGGGACTCATCAAACAAACATGTTCAATGGAAGAATGATAAAGAATAGGGTGTACCAATAATCATATGAAAAGGTGCTCAAAATCATCAGTCATTAGGGAAGTGCAAATCGAAAGTGAACTGAGATACCACTTTCACCAGGATGGCTATAATAAACAAAGAAAAACAGCAAGTGTTGGGAGGATGTGGAGAAAAGGGGGGGAGGGGGAGACGACTGTAAAATGGGGCAGCCACCATGGGAAACAGTTAGGCAGTTCTGGAGTAAACAGTGAGAATGGTGGCAGAACATCGTGAATATGCTCAGAATCACCAAATTGTACACCCTTTAAAATGGTGTATTTTATGTTACATGAATTGTACTTTCATTTTAAAACAGGCTACCACTGGTGAAATATCTACTACCTATCAGATTCTACCATGAGGCTCTTCACATGTTACTACACCTCACGTCAACCCTGCCATTAAGTATTATGAGCCATAGTTTTTTCCATTGAAGGAGAAATGAGATTCAAAGAAGGCTTCTAAGCCACACAGATTAGGAAGGTGCAGAGCCTGGATTTGATCTAGGTCTCTCTGCCTTCCCAGCCTCAGCTCTAATCTCTCTAAACACATGCCTGGAACATGGCAGAGCCAGAATAACTGCTGAATGAATGGATAAAAGCTACAGATATGGACATCCAAGTCCCCCAACCTGAAGTTCAAAGCAGAAGACCACTCTACTCTTGCTCTCCTACCAGAGCTGTCTGTCCTCAGGAAGTCCCTAGAAAGCAGTAACCACCCCCAGGTGCAACAGAAACAGACTGAAGCCAGCCTCGGGGCTTGAGTGGGTTCTCTGAAAAGGTAGGCTGAGCGGTACAGGAAGGTCTGAGGAGGCAGGAGTAAGTTACAAAAAGGAGCAGAGGCAGATAGAGCCTCTAATCACAAGCCTCCTGACCTGGATCCTGGCTGCTTCCATGCCTGGCCAGGGGGATGTTGAGGCTCCTCTGAGAGCTAACTAGCTCCTGGCTCCACCCTAATGCTCATCAGTCTCCTCCTTGACCAGTGCAGCCTGGATGAGGGCTCAGGAAGCCCTGGGCCCCCATTCATCCTTTTCTGCAGCCAGTGCACACTTACTGAGCCCATCTGGGTTGAGCACGATGCGAAGAGGCCCTTGCCTTTTGGTCCCTGACAACCAGTATATTCCAAGAACCTCAGCCAGAGTGCAAGTTTTGACTTGCTGAGGGACACTGGCTCACATGGGGCAAACCTCTAGCCTGCAGGCTTCCTGACTCCAGTCTTGAGTTGAAGGCGGTACCCCACATCCGTATCTAGTCCACAGAGGTTGACTGCTCATTCAGTATTATCATAAAAAGTGAAGAAATGATTGGGAGAGAGGCCCGGGATCTAATAAAAACAGTCCAGTCTTCTGAATCAGGTCGTTCTGGTTTGGAATTCTGGCTCTGCTACATGCTAACTGTGGGAACATGGGCAGGCTACTGGACCTGTCCAAGCCTCAGTTTCATTATCTGTAAAGTGGGGATAATCAACTGTTTTCTGGAAGGCAGTGCATGCAAAGCACCAAGCACAGTGCGCAACTTGCCATAGGTGTTCAATCCATAGCAGCTGTTCGGCTACCCTGTAGGTTACATGCTTGGCTTT